TCTGTTATTGATATATCTATTTCACAATGTCAGTGCATGCTTAATCACTAGTAATTCCTTTTCATACACTGAGTAATTGAGCTCAGTGCCTGATAGTTTCCTATCATCATATATCATCAGATGCAGCTTGCTGTTCTTGCTCATCTGTAGAAGAGTGTCTCTGATAGCTCATTCAGATATGTCTGTCTCAATGTAGAAAGGTTTATCATGATCTGATTGAATAAGCACTGAGAATGTTATTACATGTTCTCTCAGTGTGAGAAAAGCCTCTTCACACACAGTATTTCAGATAATTGAATGAAACTTCTTCTTTTGCAGATTTACATCTGTTTCTCTTAAGAGATCTGAGAGTGATGCAGATATTTGTATGAAATCCTTGAGAAATCTGTGATAGTATAAGATCAACTTAAGAAACTGTTGTACATGATGTATGTTTCTCAGCTGTGGTCAATTCACTATGATATTCAATTTCTTCAGAATGAGATGTATACAGTCATTACTCACTACATATCTTATGAACTTCAACTCTTCTATTTCAAACACACACTTGATTGATTTGATGTAGAGCTTATGCTCTGTCAGAGTTATAAGCACTTCATCAAGATGCTTCAGATGTTTATTATATGAGTTTGAAAAGACTAGAATGTCATCAAGATATATAAGATATGAGGTTTCATTCTATTTATGAAGAATTATATTCATCATCATTTGAAAGATGACAGGCACATTTATCAGACTGAATAATATTACTAGAAATTCAAACTTCTCTCATTATATATTAAACACAGTTCACAGAACTGATAGTTCATCTATACAGATCTGTCAGTATTCTGAGAGAAGATTGATCTTTGATAAATATCAGGTATTTCTGACTGTATTCAACTGTTGTTGAATCTGTGACAGTGAATATTCATTCTTGATTATTAGCTTATTAAGTGCTTGATAATTGATACACATCTGTCACTCTTCATCTGTCTTTTTCATGAATAGAACTGGAAAGCCTCACACACTTGATAAGAATCATATGAGATCATGTTCTAGAAGGTCTGTGATCTGACACTTCTGTTCTTCAAGATGTGTTTATGACAGAGGGTACACATTCTGATTGACTGGTTTTGCATCCCTCATGTCAATCTCATGTACAAATCCTCATTTCAGCGGCAATTCCAGTGAAAGATCTGTTTGAAAGATCTTTTCATGCTTCTTCAGAAGCTTCTTCATATGCTTATCCTCTCACATATCTTTTATCTTGATTTCCTTCACTTCTGAGTTCTGTATGACATACAGAATGCTTTCAGATAAGGTCTTGTAAATTGTTCTCTTTGCTTGTTAATGTATAAGCAGATTTAACCCTTCTATACTAGGAATGTGAAATGTTCTTCTCATATCAGTTGATAGAATTGTATGAACTATTTTCTTCCTATCAGTCAACTGCATATAGCATGTATGTCATTGAATCTGTGAATTGAACCTTTGAAATCAATTGAGTCTGAGAATAAGGTTATATTCCACATTCTGCAGCTCTCGCGCTTAAATATAGCAAGACTATTCTCTGAAGTGCAAGGGAACTCTTACTTTTACAGATAATATCAAATATTAATTATCAGATAATCTTATGTGTCAGGGATTCTTCACTCAGCAGACCTCTTTCAATCTTCAGATTATATAATTATCAATATATTGTATTAAAGCTTCTGTGTCTGCTAACACTTTTGCAGCCATCTCTTGATTCTTACTCAAGTGCCTCTTATACATTAACATTTCAGATCTCAAGGCATTGAGATGAGCATTCACTTCATCCTCGCCTGCATCCCAGTCAGAAGCCTGCTTCTTCTTTGCATTCACAGAATTCAGAGAGTCATCTAACATGAGCATCTCTTTCACTTTGAAGACTTTTCATAGAATATCAGTGAGTGTCTTCAAGCTCACTGATCCTGCTAGTTTTTTGACTGTGCATGCTGAGTGCAATCTTTTATATCATGATTTTGACATCTGCAGTTGAAACAAGCTCAATGCTCATGATATCAAGATTTTCACTCAGAGAATCTCTTTTTTGAGAGATTCAGTGCTTTAATAATGGCATTCAGATCTAGATTTATCACATCTGAGTGTGTAACTTGTGTTATAGAAGTCTGATTATCTGTTCTCTGCTGAGATATACTTGATTGCAGTATTTTCTATTACAATTGACTTACTTATTCTTGTATGATGAGAATATTATATACTTTCTTCACTGTGCCTGGCTATGAGGTTAAGCATTTTCATTTCACTCTCAACTCAGGTATAAGACCATGAATGAAGATTTATAAACAGAAAGGTGTTGAAAGCTCTTCATTCAATGTGAGATAGTGTAAGCTGAAGTGTATGAAGTATAATGTAAGATTGCTCACTTGTCTACACTCAGTGAAGCATTTATAACACTTATCTCATATATTCACTTTCTCAAAGTTATGCAAGATTCACTTGAAAAACTCATTTCATATTTGTGAGAATGAATATTACTCTGAGTCTGTGAGATTCATCTTTTCATCAGTTATTTATAATGACTTTGCTTTTTCATGTAGAAATATAACAGATCTTAAGACTTGTTGAAATTTCATTGACTGCCTGTCTGTGAGTTCATATTCAATCTGATAATATGATTGTATCTGACTTTGTCAGCTGATTACAGCATTATTTTTTCAGTCACTATTGAAGCTTGAAGACTTCAGCAGATCTCTCAGCTTGATATATTTCATGCTCAGATTCTCATTCTGCACAGCAGTCTTCAATGATGTGTACACTTCTGAAGAGATTGTGAACAATTGTGATGAGATCTTCAGGTTCAGTGTAGTTACCTGTCTGTATAAACATTTGATCTTCTACTGTAGATCTAAGATCTGGTTTTCTCTATTCTTATTGATAATGATGATTGCATCAGTGAAGCTCTTCATAGTGAATGCTTGATCTGCAGTGAATATTAATTATTGTTTAATCTCTGTCTCAGCCTGTCACTGTGTACACAAGGCCTTGATCTCATTTAGAATTCTCATACATGTACAGAGCTTTGATTTCAGTTCAGCAGTCTCAGCTGTTTTTCTTACTACTTCAAGTAAACTCTCTGAGAGATTCTGTATATCTTTCAATTCAGATAGCAGAGAAGAGTGTTGTTCATATCAGCTAGAGAAGATATTCATTTCAGTGATTTCTCATTGATTGTATGATGTCTATTGTTATCACTGTATTATTATATTACTATATCACTGTATCATTATATTGCTATATCATTATATCACTATATCACTCTGTTATTATCATACAACTTCAGTGATGATCACTCTCTCTTTTATTCTTCTTTTGAGTAGAGAGCAGACTTCTTTGAATCTGATTCATCACTCTCATTTTCTTTCTCACATCTCATCTGTTCATGTCTCATATGTGACATTTGTCTGAGCATGAAGTTTTCCCTCAATAAGCAAAGCAGCATCAATCAGATGCTCTTTCACTCATCACTCTTCATACACTATCTTTTGAGATATTCTAGAACCACACTGGCATGATAACTATGAATCACTTTGTAGACAGAATTATCACACTCTGAAGAAGCCTGCACTTCTCACCAGTTTTTAGACATGCTATCAGATGTGATTCAAAGATTGCTTAAGCCAGTGTACAATTACAGATGTACACTGGCTTCTTATATTGTAATCTCATACACTAAATTAATTAGTGTATGCTATGGCCCCTTTACACTTGTACGCGTACGCTAGTAGTTTGGAAGCGGCCGCGTGATTATCCGACGGTCGTACGTTCTTCCGAACCACACGCTTGTATATAAGTATAATGAAAGAATAATAATAATAATAATATCAGTAAAAGATAATCATTCTTTTAAAATCAGAATAAGACTGAGACTAAAGATTAAATTCAGTTTTATTCAGTTTATTCAGTGATTACTTATATAATCAGAATTTGATAATAATTATTAATAATACTTATGAAATAACTAAATACATTCTTGTATAAGTTTATTCTTTACTTTCTCATAAAAACTACACTTCTCTGATATACTGTAATTAGAGGTATTAAACTATCTGATAATTTCATGTTTTACAATCATGAGTTTCTTGATTATTTCTTCTTAGAATTATTCTCAGTGATAGTAATAAATATCTCAGCTTGAGTTGAACTTTCACTTCATTTTCATCTCTGTTAATGAAATTACTAAAATATTATATATTATCAGTGTAACAGTTGAATATGTTCTCTTAATAATTTTCCATCACTTCAGAATTAATTTAATGTATAAATTCATCAGATTATCTTGAAGATAGCAGTCAAATTCAGTTTTATAAGTATGTAGTTTTGCCTGATTTTCAGTTGTAATCAATGTATGTAAGTTCTGTTTCAAAGTTAGTATTATAGTTCTGTATAATATGAAGTATTATCAAAGACTATTACTTACTAGAGAATTATATATCACTGTCTTCACATCTCTAACATCTGCTTATTCAAATCACTGATAGTTGATATTATAGTAGTCTTCAATTAATTTAATATACAAGTCTTATTTCTTCTCTGTTTAATCTTGAGAAGTGTAGATATTAACACAATGAGAGAGATCTAGTGAAGTGAGACTAGCCGCCGAAATCATAAATTTTACATTTGATTTCATTTAGTCTGATCTCATATATTTCTTGATATGAATCTCACTGAGACTAATTATTAAAAAAACATGCAAAGTAACTATTTATCAAATCTTAAAATGAGATTATGACTTAGAAAAAATAAGAAACTTATCTCATTTAATCTCAGTTAGTCTCATTTCTGATATAAAGTTACTATTTTTAGACATTGTAAGGTTTTTTTTAGACTATTTTTAATTATTTAAAAAGTAACACTTTTTAATAATACTTAAATAAGATTTAAAGTCATTTGAAGTAATAAAAATAATTTAAATTGAGAGGTGAAAATCATGATCTCATTTGAAAAATGTAATAAGAGTAGACAGTAAACTCTTACTAAGACAGTATGAAACTACTATCTAATGTTGAATACAACCGCTCCACCACGAACTCGCTCGATTTTTCGAATAAGAACCCGCCGATAGATCCATCGAAAAGCCCTCGATCATACAAGCATTTTGACCCCATCGCCGACCGCATACCCCGTGTGGTGGTGGAGTTATCCAGCCAAACATGAACCGGACGTTGTTCGAAGCTCCTGTGTGGGATTATCCCCCGTTCTCCCCTACCACACCACAACCCCGGGCCAGAGTGCCATACAAATTGTAAGGTGAAGTAACCTAGCCATATGCACCAATCTTCTTGATTTTGGAAGACCCCCGACCTGTAGTTGTGGAGATATCCGAGGAGCGACCTCCGCGAAAACCCTGTCCATCTTTGATGTTCCAAAACACCAACGCCAAGTCTCACCCTCGTACCGCCCTTCCCAATCTGGCCCATCCCCGGCAGAAAAATACAAAAAGATACCTCAGCAATAATATCAAGCACATAATTAACAGACTCTTCTGAAGTGCAACCTCCACAGTCCGCCGCCAGTGTATCTAGACTTCAACACCAAGTCTCACCCCTGTACTACCCCTCTCAATCTGGCCCATCCCCAGCAGAACAATACAAAAAGATACCTTGGCAACAGTATTCAATACATAATCAGTGAACAATGAGTCAACAGCATATCAACAACTATAAAATCAGTATACCCCAAGATCTGACTGAGCCTTTGATCCCTGCACAGTGAGATATATTAAATCTAGTTTTAATATCTCAATATTTAATAGATTCTGCAAGAGATTGAGAACAGCAACACTAGATTTCTATTGAATTTAAGAATTAACTCTATATTGATATAATCATTGACAAAGTCTTTTGTTTTGAGATATAAATAACCAGTTTCTCTACATCTCACTGACAATATTTATATTATCATATAGAAACAGACTTATATTCTCTATAATATCAAGACTCTGAAGAGAGAAAGTCTTGATAGAGAATATACAGTAGTGTATATCTTAGCAGTTTCTATCTCATTCTTCTGCAGCAGTTAATGCAAAAAAAAAAAGATCTTAGAAATAGTTTTTTACTTCTCTTGAAAAAGTAAGATGTTTTTCTCTGGATTTTACATAATATTCTTACAAAGAATTAAAAACAGAGTTGTTTTCTGTCATAATTTCATATTCTTTTAAGTATGAATTACTTTTTCAGTGGCTGAAGAGCTTTCATTAATACTTAATTCTTTTTTACACTTTTTATTAACTGATTTGAGTTGCACACTTGTTGTGTGAGGAGAATTGAATGATTTAGAATAAAATTGAATAGTTTTAATCAATTTCTCTGCAAAAAATTGATTTATTTTTTGTCAGTTTTTCTCTCAAAAACTGCCATATCATCTGATTTATTATCAATTGATATCATACTTTTCCTCACTGTATCCCAAGAAAGAGATTGTAAAGATTTTATTGATTTATCTTAAAAATCAATTTTAGTTTATTAGATTCTCTTCAAAAATCTAACCTAGTTACTGAACTAGTGTGAAAAAAATCAGGTGTTTTATACACAAAAGTCTTTTATTCTTCTTTTGAAACAGTCTGATCAACTTTTCAATTGAAAACAGACTTAGAAATATCTCAATTGAAACAGTCTGACCAACTTTTCATTGAGTGAAAACAATGAGTTCAAAAATACACTCAGTTGATGTGGAAAAAGATGCTTTCTCAAATGCTATTTCTGAGATTGAAATTCTGAAGAGAAGAAAGAAAGAAGAAATAGAGAAACAACAAGTTCTTGAAATACAGAAACTTGAAAAAGCAAGCAAGATTCTTGAAAAGCAGTGTCTGAGTGAGATGAATGAAGAAGTTCTGTTAATTCTTCATACTCAGGCCAGACAACTACAGGAGATGATCAAGTTCAAACTTAGAATCTTAAACACAGTTCAAAAAACCTTGAAAATTCCTAGTACAATCACTGACTCTTCATCTTACTCTTCTTCTTCCTTTCTTTCTACTTCTTCTTCTTCTTTGAATCAGAAGAAAACATATGCTCAAGCAGCTGAATCTGCTATCTCTAAATCTGCTGTCTCAAAATCTGCTCAAAATCCTGAGAAAACTGAGAAGAATACTGCTCATGTCTCTATTCATAGAAAAGTGGAAAAGAAAATGCAAAAAGAGAAAAACTTTCAAATCTCTAGAAATAGAAGACTCATTCTCAAAGTCTCAAATCAGAACATTCTGCAAAGAAACAAGCTAAACTCAAATCTCATTTTCAGAATCAGAAATGAAATTAATCAGCAGTTCTTTTCTCAGTTAATAACTGATATTGAAGTTCAAAAATCAGTTATAGCTTCAATTGAGCTATCATTCTTTGAAAACTCTATTATTCTAACTATAATGCCTGAATTCAGTGCTGAATTCCTTATTCAGAATGAGAATCTCTGAAAGTCAGCAGTAGAATCATTGCTAAACACAACAATTCTATC